TGCTCGTCATTCCTTACCCTCCTGCCGGAGTCGCGCCAGTCAGCCTTCTTGTCGAGCTCCAGTCGCTACACGTTTTCAACTCCGACACCTCCAGTGACGTCGGGAGATGGAGATCGGTAACCACTACACACGTCGACGTGCTCGCTCCGACGAAGCGGAAGCCTGAAAAGACCTGGACCCGACGAAGCGGAAGCCGAGACCGAAGAAAATGGGACCATAGCCGGGCCATAACCCTCTGAAACTATGCCATATTACCTATTGTTTGAAGGTACCTATTAGGTATACAAGGACTATACCTATTAGGTATATATAGCTTATAAGTATATGCTTCTATGTTTGAGGTACGTTCACGGGTCGACTCCAGACTGAACTCCTTCAGGATCCCGCCATCCCGGATGCCACCCCTTCACATTAGGCGGCTGTCCTCACCGTGCGTGCCTGGGACGAACTGCTGACCACAGCAGTGGCGGCGCAGCAACGCGGCGACCCGCTGCCACTCATGGACTCTGCGCTCAAGTTACTGGAGGCAGCACCCACTGCTGAGGCACCATGGATTCATGGATCAAGGGATTTAAAGAGTCGAAGCTGATACAATTTCGTGCAGATTTGACATATATTTTGGGGAGTTAGAACCTATAGAGTCTCAAAGTACGTCGGAAACTGGGACTGGGGCACAAGATGGTGCAAGTACCCCTTCTGTTTCTTTTGTTGTGTCCCATTGTTGGGGGGTCTGTTGAAGTGTGGAAGTTGTGGGCATGCACTGTATGTATGCTCGAAGAGGTGAGAAAGGATGAGAAAAGGCTCGTAATTGGTCGTGTTTTCATGGCAGACACGACCCATGGGACTGCCATGCCGATCAAGCCAGACCCCGACTATGGCACCAGCCCTGGCCTTTTCTCGGCAGTCCGGACTGGCAGTGCCATGGAGCGGACAACCCCCCCCTTCTCATGGGACTGCCAATAGCTTCTTTGTTACTAGTAAGGCACCTGTTACTACTAGCGTTGCACTTGTTACTACTAGCGTGCCTTCTCATGGCAGAAAGGATGAGAAAGGTTTTCATGGCATGGCATCATTTGACGAGTCCACTCCCTCGAAATTGAAGCGGACAACCCCCCCCCTCTTGGTCTTCGGAAGTTCCGCGTTCCAAGGGACCATGAATTCCATGAATTACATGATTGCTGGAGGGGGTCGTGAATGAATGGAGACAATCCAAGCAGATTCGGTGGCCCTGTTCAGCCACCGACCTGCCCATCCGCTTCCCAGTCCACCAGCGTGAGACACGTCGCCTTTCACGTCTCTCAGGCGCTTCCATTGTTACTGGCAGCTCGGACCGACGGCGGAGCGACCGACCCCCCTCCCCATCGGACCCTCCGAAGAGGGGGCATATACACCACCATCCGGTTCGGATGATGGGAGACGCTCCGCTGGAACTGACGAAGTGGAAATTCACCTGTTGGTAGAGGAACGTCTAAGAGGCCATGTCATCCACTTCCATGTTAGTTCCAGGGAGTGTACATGGGAATACCTGGACCCGACTTCAAGTACCTTATAACATGGGACATAACTCATCATACCCCCCCAAAAAAGAAAAAACAATCAAACAGGTACGACCGTAGCCATTTTCCGAGGTACGAACTGAGACTGTAGGTACTGCTGATGTATATTTATATACTATTTTTTTTGTCTAGTGTACTTTCTTTGGGGACTCCTGGCCCTTCCTCTCCAGTTCTGCCATCCTTGGAACAGTCATCCAATGAGTGGGGTCTTAAATCACCAGACTTCCAAGAGTCATCAATGACAAAAGATACTATAAAACGGATCGAGTATTGGAACAGAGGGTTTGGAACAAATATCACTTGGAGGACCAAACCCCTTCTTTTGCTCGATGTCTGGATCTTTGAGCCGATGGGCTGGGTGAATAAACGGTACATTTGGCTAGTTGGCTGTGTTTACAGTTGCCCCTTTTGCAGGGCTTTTTTGTGGGCTGTCGGCACCGATGCGTCCTTGTGATCTTAAAAGTGCTACAACAGAAAAAACACAGCACAAGGTATCGGGGGGGGCGCATCTTCAGTTGTTGAGCTGGATATAGGACCCCAAGAATCAAGAATCGCTCCTTCACTCCTCTTAGGGCGTTCACTCCTCCTAGGACGATCGCCTCGCGCCCTTCACGGCACTGCCCTCCGCCCTGGCAGCCTCTGCGGCCGCGTCCCGCGTGGCAACGGCTTCCGTCGTGGCAACGGCTTCGACGGCGGAGCGCTTGCAGCAGCGAGCGTTGAACGGGGAGTGACTGGGGATGAAATATGGGAGAGGAAACTTTGTTGACTGGACTTGTCGGACGAGAATAAAATGAAATAGCGGAAATTGTCTTTGAGGCTTGGTGTGGGTGGCGCAGATATGAGCAGAACGATATAAGATACTGTACCTGGACTCGAAATCGTTCGCACCCCAGAAAATGCGACATGACCCGATATTAAAAAAAACAGTATATATATATATAATCATCTTCGGAGGTACGGAAAAACCCATGATCATCCCAAACATGTTGACCGTTGGCTGCTCTTCGTGGACCCCAGACTACACTCGCAGACAGGACTGGCTTGGTGCAGGCTGCAGCCGAGTTGCTTGAGGCCGTGACATGTCTCGTTCTCAGTATCCCAATCCCGCTTTCAGACGAAGCTTTCTACGGACACGACACGGTTTCTACAAAACACGCACTGGAAACTACTCATTTTCCGAGGTACATTGAAACTCCAGGTAGATGTTCCTACTATGTATTTTGAGTCAAGAGGCTGGCAGATGTACCACAGATGAGGTTCCTACTCAGATGAGGCTCTAGTCATTGTGAAACATCCCTATATAACCGCCTTCTCCATAGGTCTTTGAATTCATTATGACATTGTTTGAGTCGAGTAAAGTATCCCAATGTATCCCAATTGGTTTTGCTCATGGACAAAACAATTTTGCTTTGAAATCCCTTGAAGCCCTGGGTTCATCACAGGATGCACGGCCTTTGGCGCAGCAATGGGCCAAGCTTTGTGCCGAGGCGACCCTCGCACTGGGTCTCCTTCATGGGTATTCGCTCCGTATGAGCTGCACAGAAAGAGTTGTTGTTTCCACCAACAGGAGTGGGTGCCTGATTTTGAAGTCAAGGGTACATGAGGAAAACATGAAACAACAAACTATGAAGTACAAAACAGGACACAAGGGTTACGGTATATTATATATATATATGTACTGTATGTGTTTTCCGCGATAATTAAGAATGATTCATTAAAGCATGCAAAATACCAAATATACAAGCACATTTGGTGGTTGAATCAGGTAGGTGGCAAGCTGTTCGGCACTACGTAAGCGTCCCAGCCTCATCAGTCCACTCGTCTCAGGGAGATTCAGAATTTCCTCATAAACTCATAATAGGAAGTGCCTTCAATTTGTTACGATGACAATTGCATAAATTGCATACTGGGAGTGCCTCGGAGCTCCCAAAACAAAATAATCTAACAAGTTTCATAAACATCACAGGAACACCAGCTCCAGCGGTCTTGAGATCTTTTTGAGATTGCCAAGTGGATGTTTCTTAGGAGAACAGAGAGACCTTGGACCTCAGGGACTTTCCAGAGGTCCAGAGCACATGTGCAATTAAATATGGGTAGACTGATCTGTAGACTGATCTATTTCCAGGGGGTCGAACTGGAAGTTAAGTACATATCCAGCCCATTCTCATTACAAACCAGGTTCTGGCTGACTGTTGCTCCAGGTTCTTGCGGCCTTGGTGCCAGTTTGTTCGGGTCACGTAATATTCTATCGCAAACACTCCATGCCAGGAGTCACAAAGGGGTGGTGTTTAGTACTATCCAGTGAGTGGATGTGACAGAGGCACACCTAACCTCCATGAAACACCCCTTTGGAACTGCTGGTGCATGGAATATATATATATATATATTATGTCATATGTCCATTGACTCCTTTTCAGCGCCACGAGTTTTGAGATTGTCCAGGTTGTTCGTGTTCCCCAAGGCCTCGGCTTCAGAGCTGCCCTCGCGTGCGCGGGCGTTGGTGGCTTGTATGGTGAGGCAAGCCCCGACTCGGAGTCGGGGGCGCGACGGGGCGAGTGGCTGACTGGCCTGGCCTCAAAGAAATGCGGTTTGATGGTGAAGATTTGGAACATGGGTTGGATGCCGATGGATCCAGAGGGTTGATTCTGTAGCTGCATGGGAGGGTGGGATACTAGAGGTGTTCTTTCAATATCTGCCAAGCGAAGCTTGAAGGATTCTGGTTTGGCCGTTTAGCAAACCAGGCTTCAAAGATTCAGGCACTGCGGCCCCACGTGGAACCCTTCGTTTGGGTTTCAAGCCCTTCAAAGGAACCTAGATCAGCCCAAATCTCTGAAAGTGCACTGCCCCAAACAACGGACAGTCCGTGCTGTGGAGCTTAACTTGATCAGGTGGCTCAGGTGTGGAATTTTTGGTCAGCAGACTTTGCTGTGGCCCTTACGGCCCTTGCGTTTGGATTGACAGGCTCGTAAAAACACGGATTGGCCGGGCTCTGGATCTCTAGATCTAGACCCCAGTGACCCCAACCTCCGGACTTCTGGGCTTCTAGATCTCTAGATCTTTTTGATCTCAAGTCTCAAGACCTCCCTGCTTATCACGACGACTATCTCAATCTCTAGACCTCTAGGACTCTAGATCTGTCTGGATCTCAAGATCTCTAGACCTCTAGATGTCCTGGACCTCAAACTCTAGATCTCCAGAAGCTTAGGGGCTCTCTCTGGATCACAAGTGCTCGATTTAGATCTTCTGGACTTCTAGATCTTTTTGGACCTCAAAACCCAGATGGATCTCAAGGCCTTTGGACCTCTGGATCTCTGGACCTCTAGATCTCTCAATCTCTCTAAAACCCAACACGTCTAGATCTCTAGACCTTCTGCTTCTACACTTTCTGGACCTTAGACCTCAAGAATCTAGACGCACGTTTGGGCTTTAGCTGTAACTGTACATGTTCAACATTCCACCCTGACCCTGACGTCGGGTGGCGCTCGCTCTTCTACATGGACCATGAACTCCTCGCGCCCCGAGTTCCGCCCAGGGCGGAACTCTGCCAGCTCTGGTGGCGTGATTGTGCACAGGTCTTAGGACATGTGCCTCTGGCAGAGCAGGCAGCGGCGGCACGGGAAACTTCCGGGTGGATGGACTTTTTAAAGAAATCGAAGTGGATGTGAGGTCGCTGGGACCTGTCCGGGCATTCAAGTCGACATCAAAAAGTTCTTAAAGAAGGTGTTCAATCACATGGGCATTGCATGTTCACTAACCCAGGTAAGAGCAAACAGGATATGGAAATTGAGGTGACGTCTCGTTTGCGGTCAAAGGCCAATTTGGGGATCAGCACCATTTTGCTGGGTGAACAAATGAAACAAAGTGGAAGCGCCAAAGAAAGCAGGTGAACTTCATAATACTGCCCACAAGATGTTCAGCAGATGAACCAAATAGCTGGAGCTGGAATATATGCCTTTTCGTCGATCTAGAAAGCCAGCCAAGTTCGGCAGAATTGTTGCACATTCAATTGGAAGATCTATAGGTATCTGTGACTTACGCGTGTAGGAAGCCCCGGGCCATCCACACCTGGGGTGGAAACACCTGGGTGGGAAGCCCGACATCCATGATCGCATGACTCCAGGTCCACTTCGTGCTGCGTGTGGCCCACTTTGCCGTCACTGCTTCACAGCTGCTGCAGCCGGCCTTGCAGCTTTGGCTGGCCGCGCCTCGGAGCGACCCCTGCCAGGCAAAGGAGACCAATGCTGAATCATGCATTCTGGAAAAACAATGGTAGTTTCAATATGGGTGGACATGTTATATATAGAGAACTACCATAGACCATAAGTACTATAACTATATAATAGTATGTTGTTGTGTTCTTGCTTGGTTTATTATGGGATCCAACTACCCTCTCACCCACTCCCATCACTGCCCGTCACCAGCCCACGAAAGCATCAAACAAAAGTACATGATGAGGCTTTGCTTCAAAATGCCTGGCAGTGAGCTGCAAATGAGTTTTCTTAGGACACCAACATGACAGGAAATGTCCGACCATTCCGCACGTCCATTTTCCTGTGGCACCAAAGTCGTGGCCACCAAAGTCTTCAATATGAAAGATCAAAGCCACCTGGCATCTCAGTTCCTTCAGACGTTGTGATATCCTTTAGGTGGAAATGTGGCAGGTCATGTCCCATGTTGTTTCGACGTCGGAATCCCAGCACCCGGTATGGCCCCGGTATGGGTCCGGGCCGGTATGGCCCGAGGTATGGCCAGCGGCAGAAGGAGATGAGGACTTGGTCTTGGCTTTGGAGAAATTGGTGCAGGCCTGTGGTGTTCTGGCCTGGCTTCCCCAGATGTCTAGAGGGGCCCCAGATGTCTAGAACTTTCAAGATGTCTATATACTGTAGACAGAGTGTCAGAAAAAGACCATGCAAGAAACGGCCAGGTCCAAACAACGCATCGGCCTGTCAGGATCCACCGAACGCTTAGGGATTTGGGTTTCATCGGATAGGGATCCACCTGTCGCAGATTTTTCAGGGTGGGAGAAGGGGACATGGGAAACGTTTTTGGCTGCCCAGGGTTCTTTTTCCCTCGGGCTGCCCGAAGGCTGAAGGTGCCAAAAGCAGGGAAAGGGTGGTTCATAGACATCCTGAGGATGTAGGTTCTCAATCACCATCCGAAATGGGTGGTGCTGGCACCGGATTTTACAGTAACTGGACTTACGCTCCCTTCAACAATCATGGAGGTGGAAAATGACCCCTGGGATGACCAAGCAGAGGCTTCTCCACTCTTCCCTAGGGCTCTAACTACTTCCGTCTCGAAGGTGGTTGGGGAGAGCTAGGGGGGTCTATACAACTAACTTGTGAGGAGGTGGGCCCGGAGCCTTAGGGCTTATTCCTTGTTGTGGTTCATTTCTTTCGGAAGCTGTCACCTGAAGCAGTTCAGACCAGGTTGAAATCAGTTACAGACAGGGAATGTCGTGACTCATGTTTCCTTTCACTGGTCAATAGTAGCATTCTACTGGCGACTGGCATTTTGCTAAACAATCAAAAACACAGTAGCGCAATGTAGTGCATGACGACGGATACAAGCACCTCAAGAAGGTCCGCAAAAGAAACTATGACCTTGAATGATGGGTATTTGGATCTTTGGGGCATGATGTCCCATCCTAACACTCCATGGGAACATCTCATCTACATTGACCCCCTTTCCAGCCCCGTTTCGTACGTTCGTACATATGCCACGCAGACCCGAGGTTCGGGGATCCGAATCCGGAGGGAAGGGCTTTGGAGTCGAACCAAGGCCCGCTTTTGAGGGACCTGGAAAGGGCTGTTTTCATGGAGCGTGGTCGGGCAGTTCCCAGGGCCTCGGCCTCGGCCTCAGCCTCGGTGTTTTGGGGGCTGGCTTCAGGTCTCGGCGCGCTCCAACGCAGAGTGCGCCCCAGCGCTGCAGGCACTTTGCCGGAGCTTGGCCGCTTTGGAGGAACTTGAACACCCGGGAGATTCAACATGTAAACTGTAAGAGTCTGGGAAAGAGTGTGAGAATCTTGGCAATCTCAAAGATCCTTAGCTTGTTGATGTTCTGTGTCATTCTGTGTGGATTCAGGGTGGGCTCCCCAATTTTGGAACCCCAATAGTATAACCCAAAGATAGCTATGAGATGCTATGAGCATGATTGAACTAGTTTGAAGTTGGATATTGTACCGAGTAGGTGCTATGCCTCAGCGGGTAAAAGTGGTGCAAGACCTTTTGGGAAAGGTCGCTATTGGGCATCATCATCCTATAGTCTTACCCAGTGTCTAGCTCTCATGCTCTCAAAATCGTTCCCATTTGAAGGCCCGGATGCTCGGTAGGGCACTGCCATCGTTGGGCATCCTTCGAACTGGGCCTGAGGCTTCCGCATCCTCGTGGGCCCCACAGACTGTGAGTGCCTCCTGGCGAAGATGAGAAGAGGGTTTGGGATTCTTGAAGTTTTCTTGAATTAATTATATAATCAATTCTAAGACCACCGTGAAAAGAAGCACCTTGGAGTTCTTGTAGCTTTGTTGTTGCCAAAAGGTGTCATTGGATGCGAGCGTGCACATGGCGGCTGCTAGAGGTTGAGCCCCTTTTTTTCGGCAGCATGATCAAGAATGGAACCCTTTCTTTGGGCGACTGATGTACCTGTTGGATGAATTCCTGCACTGATCTGGGAGATCCCTTGACAGTTCCCTTGATCACCGGAGTCGACCTGTTCGTCGTCGTCGTCGTCGTCGTCGTCGTCACGGAGGCTGCCTTGGGCACCGTCGAAGCCTCCGTGACGCCCAGCGGGGCGACTCCATGGCCATTGACGCAGCACATGGCGCCTCTGCGGCGGAACGAATCAACGGCCGACCTGTTCGGGAGTGTCGCGTTGGGCGTTCCTTTTGACAGCAGGGTGTTTGACACATTCACACATTCGCCCATTCTGAAGCCATCCCAAACCCTTTCTGTTACCGTGTGTGTGTGGCTTCTTCTTTCGGGCCGTTAGGGTGCCCAAGGCCGCCTTTTAGAGATTTTAGAGCGGAAATGAGGTGTAAAACGATGTCCCCCCCAAGCTAAAGTGACGTCCCTCGCTTCGCTGATTCAGCGCATCGCGTGTTTGCTGGACTTGAACGTTTAAGCCCAATGTACTCTTTGCAAGGTCTCCTTCTACGGTCCTGTACTGCAATGCGCTGCGAGCATCTCCGCTACTCAGAGCGACGCTTGGACTCCATCGACGGGGACATGGAGGACTTGATTTGGTAAAGTAGCATCCACAGCATTCCAGTGCCAAAACACAACACGTGTTGTTATCTGTGTGTTTCCAACCCGTTCGTTTCCGTTCATTTCTAAACCAAAGCGACAGCCTATTCTGTAAAAAGCGCATGTTAACAGACCTTGAGACTTCTGGAAACCTCTTTGTTTTATTGACAGGATGCTATTCCCTCTATTGCTTTTGTCACTAGTATACAAACACAGGTTTTATTCATATATATAGACAACAGGAGTTTCCTCCTAGAGTGTGAACACCAGACAACTTCTGACATGTTCTGAATTAGAAGCCTCATCTCCACGATGTTTAGAGGTGCTGGTACACCACCCTTTGGGTGGTGCTAGTACCTGGGGCCTCAGTCGCACCTGTTTCTTGTTCGGGCCATCTCCCATTTTCGTTCGGCTACGCACGGTCCGTCGGGTGTATAGGTTCATACAGGTTCCGTAGGGTACTTTCCAGTGAGCTCCGCTCCCCCTTTTGACTGAACGCCTTGCGTTTTGACCGAGATCCCCTTGGGCCTCGTGGGGGCCTTGGTGTCCTGGGACGCCACCAGTGACTTGGGTCTCCAGCTGCGTGGGGCGCTGCTGAGCAACGAACAGGCAGTGACTTGGTGGATGGTTTCGTGGTCATGTCCTATTTTCTATCCAATCATAGGGAACCACAAGAATCTCATCTGAAATGCATTGACATTGATCCCTTTTTGCAGAGCGGCCGGATTCCTGGCAATGCCACCTGCAGCTTTTCGTCTTATGAAACAGATTGCAGGGTGGCTGTGAAATAGGGTTTTTATTTGTAGGGATTAGCTAAGGAATGCTAAGGACAGTTGTTTTTCTTCAGCAGATGTTGACCTTTTCATCCTTGCTGATTGTTTTGTTGCTGTTGACTTTTGCATGCTCCCTAGATGCTGACCTTTGGCTTTGTCTACCGCTGCTGTGCTTGATTGTAGAAGTGATTTGTAGTCCAGTAATGGGTGCTCTCTTCAGATTGCTTGCATAGTCGCATAGATATTGTAATCTTTCCATGAGTCAAAGGTCTATCTCGATAGCTGTGGACACAGTCAGGTCCCATTTTCTAGGTTGTAGATTCATACCTTTCTTGCTGGATCCACTAACGGCTTCCCAGGAGGCCTTTAGCTCAAGGCTCAAGCATTCCAGGGGTTCCAGAGGGAAGTTCCACAGTGCCTTGCTCCAGGAGGGTGGGCCCAGAAGCTGAATCCACTCATCTAGATTGGGGTCCTTTGATCACTCCAACTTGGAACTCCAGGGTCATGTTGGGCAAATCCATCAGTCTGCCAGCTGGTGGTGACCGGAAATTCCTCGGAGGAGCTTTCTTTTCTTCCAAGGTACGCACCTTGTGCAACCAGAGCGAAGAGAACCGGACCACACTGCGAATCAAAGAAGCTCTTGGCTTGTGAAAAGTGGCTCTTGGGGCTCGAGAGAAAGAGCACATGCCTGGAGTCGTGTGCCATGAGCCCCAAGGAACAGGTCCTCCCATGTTCAAAGGAACAGGTCCTCTGATGCAGACCCTAGGACAAGTGGATAAGCCTTTTGTTGGAGATTCTTTTGAACACTTATAACATGAACAGGTAGAAACAGGCTGGCGGAAGATTTCCAGAAACGGCTCGGGAGCCAGGACTTGTGGACCTTAAAGCAGCCATGTAAAACCTATCGTTCACATGTTGAGTGCTGAAAGCCAGGGTCAACCTTATAGTGGTCTTGTTATACTAAATATATAAAGCCAAGAGATGGGCCATGGGCCCGGAACAAGAGAAACTGAAGTGCAACCGAGAGCCCATCGCATCTGACCAGATTGCCTCTGGAGACGAATCGGCAGTTGGCCATCGGTCCTCGAATCGTGGTTGTCCTTGAAAACACCGGCTATAGCCTCCTATACATGAACCAGCCTACCCGGACCCTCTGAATGACCCGAAAGAAAAGCATGTTCCAACAGGTACCTGCCAGCTTTCTGCCAGCTTTCTGCTCCGATCAGCAGGTCTGTTCGGAGCGTCGATCCGAAGGTCCGGTCGAACCGCGGTCCGGTCGAACGCGCCATGGATGAGAGCGACGGAGTCGAGAGAGAAGGCGTGAGGAGTGCGATGGAGGGCCTTCGGATCGGTGCCTAAACTGCCTGGGCCTGGGTGTGTTCAAGCCAGGGTGACTGAATGGTAGGACCCATGCTGTCGATGGTCACGCCTTGCTTCCGGAGACACTCGGGACAATTGTTCCTTTCTTCGTTGTTCTCGGAATTGATCAAGCTAACCCCTTCATTTGCTTGCAGCAAGATATAACATGATATAACCTCCGGATCCGTATGGGCTCCAGTCGTACCCTCCAAACCGAAAAGTGTCTCCAATTTGCTCCAATCACCTTCTCAGAGGGTATTTGGATCCCAATGGGGACGGATTCGCATGGACCACAAGCGCCTCAGTCCACGTCTGCAGGCCACTTCTCAGCCGCTCCGCCGCCCTCGCAGATGGCAGGCGGACACAGAGCCTGCAGACCAGGGTGGAATCCTTTTGGGTGGAAACAAAACCACAGACCTGCACCCAATATCCGCTATTTTTCGTAGGTTGGATGTTCAATCCAAAAGCTTGGATCTTGGATCAAATGCTTGGGCTGAAAACCCACAAGCAGGATGGAACAAATCCAATGGACTTTTTGTTGGGCTAGACCGGGGCTAAGCCTACGCCCATCCAACATGATCTGAGTATACACTGCATTCGTTGGAAGGCTTTGGAACTCGCAGCTCAGGGTGAACATCTTAAAAAGTTACTCTCATCTTGCCGCCAAAAGGCACAGTTTGTTTTCATTGGCCAGCAGCTCCTCTAAGTGGATTTGTGTGTGTGCTATGTCCAACCAGTGGCCCTCAAAACTATATAGGAAGAGTATATACAGGTTTTAGTTTTCACAAGCCATGCAGCGTTGTTGGCGGAAAACCCGGTTTGTGGGGCCCCTCTTCCAGGTCTTCCTTGGAACGCCGTCCTTTCAAAAACAGGCCCTCGCCCCGGTTGACCACCGTCCGAGTTGGGCACCACAGAGTTCGGTTTGGCCATCCGTACGACCCGTCGGGTCCAGAGGTCTGGACTCGAACCAAAACCCCTCTTCTGGGAAGCTACTAGTAACAAGTGCATCGCTACTAGTAACAAGATGTAACAAGTGCCTTACTAGTAGGAACAAAAAGAATTTAATTAGACTCGAACTCATTTTGAGGGCGATTCTGGATGATGGAATTTAGATAACGCGAAAGTGAAGGCAGAAGTGTTGTATTGTCAGCCTTGCGTGTAGGCTCGCGTAGGAAATATGTGGATAACTCTGTGTTGAGGTTGACGTAGGCTCTAATTGATGGCGACCAGTATGAAAGCTCTTAAATCGAATCCAGTGAGTACAACACTGGGCTTTGAAAGGGGTGACCGGACTTGATATTTCAGCATATTTCAACTTGTGGGTAGGTGTACTAGGTATTGTGGTCACACTAGTAGCACATTGCCCATTGTTTCTATGCATGGGCTCCTTCCAATTTCAAGCCTTCTGAGAAGCCAGGCTTCCGCCGCGAAGGCACTCACGAAGGACAGGCGTAGGCGAACAGTAGTTTGTCCATCTGCTTTAGCCCTTAAGGTCCTTAGCGCTTATGTGGGTAGCCTTTCGTGACCATGTTTGCTTGCAAGAAGAAGGAGGTGGCCAATGCCCTTGCCGACAGGGTCATGGAGAAGACTGCCTTTGCCAACAAAGTCATCTCCCTGCTGAAACATGTCGTGGAGCGCATAAAGCGTCAAAGTGGCCCATGTCTTGTCTACGAGCATGGAAGGCCCAGCCAGCAAGACAAAAGCACGTGCAGCCTGCCAAATTAGTCGAGACAGAGAATGAGATAGACACTCTGCTCTTCAAGGCCGCTGCTCGCATGCAGAAAGTGGCACAGAACCGATAAATCCAGGCTTTGCGCCCTTCTGCAGCATCATCTTCAGCAAGTTTTTCTGGTCGTGCGCTGCCGCTCAAAAGATCCTTGCACAAGCTCTCACGAAGCCACCAGTACTTGCGCGAAGGCTTGCCTAGGCGTCCTTGGTAGAAACGTTGTCCCTGCGTCGACTGTTTGTCGCGTACCACACATGGACCTGGACCCTCCACAGTACCCTAGAACATGAGACATGACCCTACAAACAGGTAGCTCACTTTTGGAGGTACGAACTGGTAGGCTCCGGGTAGTGATGTAGGGTAATCCGGGGGTTCGCTGATAGTGGTGTTTTTTGTGCAGCCTAAGACTGCGAGCTCTTACTTTCCACAGATAGTGGCTTGTTTTGTAGAAGATCTTTGCAATCATGTCGTCATGTCCAATCGATGTTCGTCCAATTCTTATGCTCTCAAAGGGGCTGCCACGCACGGCTCGCAAAGTAAAGTGCTGGCTGTTTGGGAACACCCGTGTGAGGTTTCTCCGCATTGGCTCATGCCGATAGATGAGATTCCGTGGGAAGGACTGATTGGTGAATTGGTGGCTCAGGGCGGTCGGAGCACCCCACTCAGAACACCTCTGGGGGCCCTGACATGTGAGCAGTGGCGGGGAACGTCCTAAACGACTTGCCCACCACTGCAGATTCACATGTATCACTGTCTCACTGTATCATGTTACAGTTGTCAATGGTACGGGAGGGACCAGTCAGATTAACACTCCTGGATGTCACAAGTCCTGACAGGTTGACAGTGGTATCAGATGTACCCTCCTGCCGAGCTTAGGACTCTCAAAGCCACTGGATGATTTTTGAGGGTCCATGGGGTGTATTTGTTGAACTGGACAGCACTCAACAGATCTGGTTGCTCAGGGGGAAGTCCAGTTCATTTATGACACAAACTTGAAAAACATGCGCAGCATCCCGTCCCACCCACCCTCTCGACGCTGCTTTCCCAGCCGTCCTTGTAAGCCTTGTCCTCCAGCCTGCGGCTGAGGGATCTAGTATGTCTCAAGAAAAGGATGTACAGTTTGCTGTGAACTCCAATTTGGAAAACAATGAACAGACTGAGCCTCTCCACTTGTATAACATGATTCCCAGTAGCATCTCCTTTGACTTCTTGACACACAATGGAAGGTCAACCCGGATTCCATGTTCACCTTCATCGTTTGCCACTGGTGGTGTTGGTGGTGGTAGTTCCTCCACTGCTAATGGTGGCATTCCATTTGGTTCTTCTCCATCGGAATCACCCGGGCGCAAGGTTGCTCGAAGCACTTGTTCCATTTCAAGCCAAAAAGGCTACAGGTTGGAATGCAGCAAAGTGTTTGCTGATGCATTCTAAGTACGTGAAGATCCCACAGAAGAGTGAACGTTTGGGGAACATGCTGGACTGAAAGATAGAATGTGCCGTGGGTTCTAAATGGATTTCCGCAAGAATGACCTAGACCTGGTTCTAAGTGTACACCTATTTGTCAGTGATGGCGGGGATGTGGGGGTTCTATTTGTCAGTCCCTGACCATACATGAACACAAGGAACACCAGGCAAATGTGTTACTTCTCACGCATTCCATGTGTGTCACTGCCATGGGGTTCTGTCCATATGGCGCCATAATGTGTGTGGCCAACCGCAGCGCATGCCTGGAGGATGTGGCACGGATCAACTTGAGTATCAGCAGATGTGAGAAGAGTGCGCCCACAGACTTAAGAGCGCGGTGGTCATGGTGCTGCGGAGCAAGTTACTGAGTCATGGGGTCGATCGGATTTACTGCGGATCGCCGTGTTGAATGTGTTCCCTGCTCGCCTTCATCCACCCGACTGGCAACTGGCATGTGTTTTTTGAAGCAAGGCTTCCTCAAAACAAGTTCTTCCTCGGTTTCACGGCAGATGGAAGAAATCAGAAGCACCGCACCTCAGTTTGTTGCAGAGTGAATTATGCCCATTTTATGAGATAAACTTCACTTCATATTAAATATGTTGCCATGTTTATATCTGGGAACTATATGGATCTATATGGAACTATCCAATAACCAGACACTCCACGTATGGCACACATACCTCCATTGGGGTGGTTTCAGGGGTCAATGTAGGTGTATATTATATTCAATACAAGGAGTGTGTGGCATATGTGTATTTGTGTATCGCACTGCTTGGAACGGAAGGAGTTTTTTTTCTCCACATTAGGGGCTACCCATGGGCACTTATACATAGTTCTATGTGGGATTTCTCAAAGGAGCCATTTTCTATAAGTGCCTTGGCCACCCGGAGGGTGGGTCCAAGATGGTCCGAGGATGTGGTCGGATCCATAGGCGGCCCAGGTCTGCTCGTTGGGGCCTCACGATCTGGACACCGAGGTCCTGGCGATCTGCCCTGGATCTGTTTGCTCAGCTGGGAGGAGCCCGTGAGGCTCGGCAGGATGCCCAGGTGGGTGAGGGAGAAGGCGCCGCAGGGGTTGCCAGTGTTATGAAGGCAGGTTCTGT